CACAGAGGAAGAAGAGGAAGAAAGAAGAGGAAGAAAGAAGAGGAAGAAAGAAGAGGAAGAAAGAAGAGGAAGAAAGAAAAACAAAGGTTTAAGTATCATTTTAGTCCCTCAACTTATCACTTTGGCACCAAAATTGTCCCTCAACTTTAAAAAGTACCAAAATTATCCTTGAACTTTCATTTTTGGTACCAAAATGGTCCTTTCGTCAGTTAAATGCCAGGTGGCACGTTAAGATGCCACAAAATCATTGACTTTTTTAAATTTTAATTACGTGTAAATCCAACAAAGAAAATTTTTTATACACGTGGCATATTTTTTACACATCATATTATCACCTTTTTTAACTTTTCCTTTTAATGGGGCCCATGTAACAATTTTTTAACTTTTCTTATTCTTTCCCTCCTCTCTTTTCTGTTCTTCTTCCTCGCTAGATCTGGGTTTGATCAAAACCCAGATCTGTTCTCCTTTCTCTCTCTTCTCTAGAATCTTCCAGTCTTTGCTTTCGTCTTCCCCAGATCTCACCTTTTTGTGCTCGGCAGCCCTTGGGCTTGCCGGATTTTTGATGCTTGAGCCGTCGGGATCTCCGGTTGCTCAAGCATGATGGAGCCGATTTCGTGCTCCCAGTTCCGATGACCCTTCTGGTGGTCTTTTTTTCTTGTTTTTTTTCTGTTTTATCTAGTTGTTTTGCTTGTTTGTTATCAGATCCGGTGGCTACCAGCCAGCCATTACACAAATCTCCAAAGGTGGTCGTCGGATTCCCAGATCTGGTGGCCATGGAGCCTCTCATGGGAGATGGTCACCGCCTGATGGGATCTCCCCGCCCTGGTGTCCTTGTTTCAAGAATCGCTGTGATTTTGCTACGACGAATTCGTCATGAGCTGTGAATTTGAAGATCGACTCCGAGATGAACCTTCCTTCTTCGACAGCTTCCACTTCTCGTCGAAATAGAAGTTCGGCTGTGCGGTCGCAGTTGTAGCCAGCGCGGTAGCCATGGAATTGATTCTCAGGGTAAAAAACGAAAAACAGACTTGAAGGAAAGAGAGAAAAACTTGAACAGAACAGAACAGAGGGGTATTGAGTTGTTGAGCTGAATTCACTGAAGAAGCTGGAGAGTGAGGGTGGGTTTGGGGTAATATTTGATTTAATTTTGCAGGAGTAGTAGTAGGTTTAGGGTTTTGAATTTGAAAAGAAAATGGAAAGAGAAACGAAGATAACTTGTGATTTTTGGGGAACTTGATTGAAACTGGAACAGAGAGAACAAAATTTTCATGTGGGCCCCACTAAAAAAAGAAACTGAGAAGATGACTATTTGACTTGTAAAAAAATGCCACGGTGTCAAAAATGTCATTGCTGGATTTACACGTCATTAAAAATTAAAAAAAGCCGATGATTTTGTGGCATTTTAATGAGCCACCTGGCATTTAACTGACGGAAGGACCATTTTGGTACCAAAAATGAAAGTTCAAAGATAATTTTGGTACTTTTTAAAGTTAAGGGACAATTTTGGTGCCAAAGTGATAAGTTGAGGGACTAAAATGGTACTTAAACCAAAAAGAAAAAAAAGAAAGGAAGAAGATGATCGAAAGAGGGGAAGAAGATGGGTCAAAAAAGGGAAATGAGTAAATTTGTAATTTTTTATTTTTTTATTAAGGTAAAATTGATTTATGAGTTGGATGAGTTGGCGATGACGTGCCTTAAAAAAAATTTTCAAATTAACGTTTTTTTAAATTGTTTTTGCCATCTCATCAAAAAAATTACAAAAAATGCCATGTGTCGTAGTTAACGGTCTAAATTGACAAAAGAACTAACGAAGTGCATTTCTTAGAGTTGAGGGATCAAAAAAGTGCAAAAAATTGTTAAGGGACTAAAAATGTGCAACTCACTAAAGTTGAAGGACCAAATTTAGCATTTAACCAAAAAAGTAAGACACGTAAGGTTGTATAAAAAAAATA